GGGTCATATGATTGTTGGGTTTTTCTCTGTATCTATGAAGCGCCTTGAGGCGACTTTTGTTGTGATTTGGCGCTATATAAATAAAGTTGAATTGAATTGAATTGAATTATAGAGCAGGTTGGGGATCGAGATTTGATATTAATATTGTCACGGGAGTGGAACGGACTCAGGCGCAGACGGAGGTAGCACGGTTCAACGACACTTTATTAATCACACTGGTGCGCTATATACACGTGAAGGGGTGGGGGAAAACACCAGGGTCCCGGGGATCAACAGGCTGGGGAGACACTTCTTCGCACTCGCTCTGCTCCTCGTCCAAACAGTCTCCACACAAGCAGCTCACTCTCACTCACGGGGTCCAGGGGTCACAGAAGGGCTGATCCAGGTAAACCTATTTACACAGACGAGGGTAAGTCGAAGGCAAACACAGGAACAGTAGAATCGCAAAGAAGCCAGGCAATACTAACGAGAGTTACTCAATATTCCAGCGATGAATAGCTCAGAGCCCCAGCATTAAGAAGAGCCAGAGAACTGCAATCGCTCGAGATCAGCTGCAGGTGCACGGGCCAAGGGCAGGAGCCCAATCAGAGCTCCGCCCAGGCAGACAAGTAGGAGAGAGAGCGAGAGAAAAACAACAACACTTGTGGCCACACTGGGCTGGCCGGGGAGGCACAGGGACCATGACAAATATAGCACACTGCTTAGTTATGTGACATTAATAATGTTAAACTTCAGTCCAACCATTTAAAGATGATGACCTGTCATTCAGATTGTTTGATGTAAACAGATGAAATATGATGTTGAGACAGTTGAAACATATAAAACTAACCTTGGCCTGACAGTAATCTCTCATCAGTGTGACTGTTGTTTATCTGCACAGCTGATATAATAACAGTGAAAGTGCAGATATTACAGATGTCGATGTGTCTGTTTGTATTTCAGTGTGAAACAGGAATTCCTGACATGCAGATACGAAACTAAATGTTTTTCATTCACTACAAGAAATATGAAGTGTAACTTAATAAGTGTAACTCTCATTGTCTTCTGGTTAAAGTTCTCTTCTTAATAAACAGTAGAACAGATAAACTGTACCTAAAGTTAAGAATTGAAACTTAGTAACACTTAAAGATTAAAACAACATTAAAATGACTTTAATTTACTATTGTGTGTAGTGAAGGTGTAGTCTAGATGTGCTGGGTGGCCAAAATGGTATACCTTATGTTATTGTTGTTATTATTTCTGCTTGAGTCTATAGTGGCTCATATAATGTCATACCATTTTAATATCATAAAAAGTCTCACAGAAGATTGGATGAAATAACCAAACTGATAAATAATCATTGTGTGTACAGTTCTGTTCAAACTCAGCAGGAATAATTAGTGTGACGCTTTTAACTCTGCTGATCCTCTGCCTCACACTGCTGTCTGACTGCATTCAGCTGACACTGAGATGAAGCAGGACAGAAGCAGCTGATATTTGGACAGCACACATGATGGAAAGGAGGATTTCAGTTGATGTGCACATGAATGATTTGTGTTTCCTCTGCAGGTGAAGGTAGAAAGTGTGTGTGAGCTGATGTGGATGTGAAATCACAGCATGGGTCAATGTGTGGGAAGACAACAATATCAAAGGTGAGATGATCATCTCTAACAGTCCTTTTCCATTAGTACCTACTCGCCTCGGGTTCCAAGCAATCCAAGGTGATCCGAAAATGTGACGTCACCAGACTGTATGGCACCAACGAGGTAGTCACTGGCGTTACCCAAAACCCTGCAATGAGGGACGTGGCTACATAAAAAATACACCGTGGTCACTGAGTCTAGCAAAAAGACTGAGCAGATGTAACATCACTGTGATGTCCTCCTTTGTTGAGGTGTTCGTGTCGCATACAAATGACGGCACGAGATATTAGGCCATGTTGCTATAACAACCCCACGAGGTTTAGGTGGTACTTGATTGTCATGGATGACGAGCAGAGCCGAATAGGTGATCATGGAAAACGGCTGTAAATGTCCATGATTCTCATATCACTGCTCCATCAGTATTGACAGTAGCCGACTTGGACCTAAACCAGGACTCGGACTCGACTCTGGATATGAATCTGAACAACAACCTGGATGGCGACCTGAACCTAAACAACGACCCAGACCTGAATCTGAATCTGAATCTGAACCCGAACCCGGAGTGGGACCTGGACCCAGACCCAGCTGTGTGTCCTTGTCTGCTGCAGAGAGGTGAGCTGTTAGTAACATGATGTGAGTGCTTGATGTTGTTGAATATAAACTGCAGTGCAAACACGTCTTTGCCATTTAAAGTGTCTCTTAAAAACAAGCCTATAGTTTCTAAACTGAAAATCCACTTCAGCAAACAGGAAGTGATCAGTGACGGCCAGTGAAACATTTTTTAGGTGGGGCTGTCAGTCTCAGCAAACATCACTACATTTAATGCATAAAGTGAAGATGTAAAACACACATTCATACTGCATAAAATCCTGAAAAATACATGTCTGAAAACATAAACACGGCGTTCGACTGTATGGAAACGCTGTCCAGTGACTGACTGTCCACCTGCAGAGAGGTGATGTGTGTGTAAATGCTGTTGTGACTTAGTGTTTGTGAATAAATCCTCCATCATGTGTAATGTCAGCTCAGCTCTTTTTCACACACATTTCTATGTTCACATGTGAAGCGGTGGACATGGACATGAATATTGTAAACTGAAGCTCCACCTTTAAACTCGGACTAACCTAATGTACAAATTATTTTGTACATTAGGCTAAAACAGTGTGATCATCGAACATTTTAGTGCAAAAACAAACTCATTGGACTCACAATACCTCCATGCTTATTTACTCTCCGTCTCTTTCAGCCAGTTACTTGGACAAACTAGCCTGTTCACATGTTCAGAGCAGCTCTCTTTGTGTTACTATGTGACCTGTAAGTTAGAACAGTCTATCACATGAGGCATAAGTGGCAGGACCAATCACATACATGTGGGCCAGGACAGACAGCTGTGGGTGGGTCCCTGCTCGACTGGACCACCACAGCAGCGGGCAGTCTGTCTCACTGATGGTGGATTCTGCTCTGTACAAACTCGGGGCCCTTTTACACAGGGCTTCCTCCTCTGAATCAGAGAGGAGGAGGCTCTTTGTCTCTTTTGTGGTGGCATCTTCACACTGTTCCTGCAGTGGCTGTGGCTCAGGTGGTAGAGCAGATCAGCTACTGATTGGAAGGTTGGTAGTTTGATTCTTGGCTTCCCCAGTCTGCATGCCAAATATCCTTGGGTAAGATACTAACCCCAAGTTGCCCTCCGATGTGTTCATCAGAGTGTGAATGTAGGGTTGGCTCCCGTGCCCCGTACACCCACGTTTCCCTCCCCGGATGCCACTCCCGTTTCAATTTTTCTCCTAGTTTCGGGCAGGCTGTATGGCGAGGCATCCGGGGAGGGAAACGTGGGTGTACGGGGCACCAACCCTGATGCGCGGCCTGTGAAATGCGACCCAGGGGTACTCTGGGACCCCAGGGGTCCGGAGCTGCCCCGAAGGGGAGCACAAGGGTTAAGAGACATGCTTACAAATCGGATTTCCAACTCTTTCAGTCTCGCAGCAGAACATGAGAATAGAGCAGCTGCGAGAGAATTCAGCATTAATGAATCAATGGCACAGAAGTAGGAGGAAGCAAGAAGAATGAGTTGAGTTAAGTTTGACTTATCTGACTGTTTTTTCGCTTAATGCGCCTTTATATGTATGGTAAGGTATGCCTTATGGTCCAAAAATATAGTAACTTATCTTTCTTGTAGAACTGTGCTCCAGATAAAGAACTTTGTATTGTTAGTTAATCATTTGCAAATCAATATTGTCTGAATGGACAGCAATTAAAAAAAGTGAACATGTAAAGCTGCGGTGTTAAGCGCTGTGGTTGAAAAAACCAGTGCAACCGTGGCAAAAAGTTAGTCTAGAGCTCTGAGTTTACCTGACACTCCGACTGGCGGCCGCTGAAAGTGACATCATTTTTCATGGGATATGTAGTCTCCCCCCCCACAGAGCCTGTTAATGGTTTACTGGTGTTTTTAGAAGTCATGTTTGGCTTTATGCCTTTCTCTATAGTTTATAGTTTATATAAACTATTTATAGTTTCTCTATGCTTGGAACTTAAATTGCACTGTTGGAAATAGTTAATTTGGATGCACATGTTGGGTTTTTTTTGCAAATTGTGCACAATAATATTTTTTTATTTTTGCGGCAGTATATAAAAATTAGCGCATTTAAAAAATGAAATTATGAAGACACTCAAAATAAATTTCCTGTGGTTGGAAACTATTTTGTGCAACTTTTTTGCATTTACACTTTTAACGACTATACCTATAAAATTTATCTAGGTCGGGATATGTGTAAAAAAACAAAAAAACGATTTTCAGTTTTTTGTAGTTTATTGCATTTTTCTTTTGCAATTTATGTAGTTACTATGGACTTGATGCAGACATATTATCAAAATTTGGGGTATAACGGTTGTATTGATGTATAGCCACTTGAAATGCTTCCAAAAACACCATGTGAAAATATAAAGATAAGCTCTGGTGGACTTGATGATATGATGGTCTTTAAAGGATTAAAGCATAAAGAAGTATCCAGATTACTGTTAGTATCACAGTAATGTGCCTGATCTACAGTCAACTGTTCTCTGGATAAATGTGACAGAGTGCAGGGTTCATGCAGATGAAGTTAAACTTTTATAAACTCATAAAAATCAGAAATCTAACAGCTGATGTGTTGGATCAGAAACATTTGACAGTGATTTAAAATAAAGATGTTTGTGTGACACAGAGTGAGCCATTCTCAGAGTTTAATCAGGGCTGGGTCATCAGAAAATATCCTCTGCACACTGTCAGAATTAACACTATTTTTTTTACCATTACAGAGTTTCTCTACACCCGACCAAGGTCACACAGACCAAAACGTTGTAATTGAATAAAAATAATGTTGACCCTGACAGTGTGCAGAAGTTGTCATATTCTCTACAGAGGATAATTTGTTGTTTGATATCTGAATTGTTTGTTGTTTCTTATGTAATGTGTGTGATATGTTTGTTTCTCACCTTCATTATTTTTTATTATTGTTTTTCTTTATCTGAATACAGGGATGTGCCCTTAAAGCGTGCCCAGTCAATGGATCCTAAAATATATTTCCACAGATGACCTGTTGCTGCTGCTGCTGAGAGGTAATGTGTGTCTAAATGTTGTTCCTGACTCAGTTTTTGTGAATAAATTCTCTTTCACACACTTCTGTGTTCATATGTGAAGCTCAGCTGTTGTTTGGACTGTAACTCACTCTGATTGGTTCTCTCCAGTTTCCTGTTAATGAGCTGATTGCAGAGCCTTTCTGCTCTTATTGAGTCAAATATTTCTGATCAGTGTTTCTCACTGATGTTGGTCTCCATGGTGACCATTCATTGACAGCTTTACCTTCTTTAGCAATAACTGAGATTCCTGATGAATTGCTTCTAGGTGCCACATCCTTGATTCTACAGCAGGTTTACAGACCTGATGATAATCTGGTTCCTGGATTAAATTAGATTCTTGTTAAAACTCTTTTGAATGTTCATCATTTTTTAGTGGCTTTGAATTATTTCATCTGTCAGTTCCTGTTTTCAGTAAAGAATGTGATGGACTTTTTTTTGATTTTGAGCTGTGATCATAATGTTAATATTCTCTTTAAACTGCACATTCAGAGCAGTGACAGAGCTGAAGTTTGGCTGTTTTATCTGTGTTATTTCTAGTTTTAGCTTAGTTGAACCTTATTCAGTTTATTTACTGATCTATTACAGTCTGACACAAGAAATGCTCAGGCGTGTTGCTATAACAATGACCACGCACATTAGGTGGTACTCAATTGGAAGGGAAAACCAGTAGATCCAAGCTGAGTAGTGGGGAGTCAATCCAAGTACCGTATTTTCTACACTATGAGCCGCACTTAAAATCCTTTAATTTTTAAAAAAATCAACAGTGCACCTTATGTCTGAATTCTGGTTGTGCTTACTGACCTCGAACAGATTTTATGTGCTACACGGCGCTCAAAAATCTGTCAAAAATGTTTTAGTGCGACTTTGCTACGAAGCCGCACCGCTTGATGGATTGTTGGAGCGTTACGGCTACCATAGTCAGGAGCCTCGCGGAGGAATCTGGGTCCTAAACTCAGTGATGCTTCAGGTCCCAAAGTCAAACGAACACTGCAGCATCACTGTGAGTTAAAAACTGTCTAAAGTCTTTCATCTTCAATAAAATGATCAGCATTCCTGCTTTACCAGGTGTAACAATTGAGTTTAACATCCAGGCATCCATGAAAACAGTTTATTAAATTTAACAGAGTTAGACGTTATCAGGAAGTTAGCTCGCTGGTTTTGCTAGTTACCTAAACATGATATCATAACAAAGCATAACACTGGAGGGTAAACGCTAACGTTTTTCCCACTCGATAAAAGTTCCCGATGGTTTTTGACAAATGCACTCTCATGGAAAGATGCTGTAAACGGACCAGACTTCAGTCAGGAGAACACACAAGATAATCCATACACAATACGAGGTTAGTCATTAATGTAAGATAACCTTTATTAGTCCAACATGTGGTAAATTTGTTTTGTTACAGCAGAAAGTGGACAGTGCAAAGTTACATAGCAAAAATTAGAAAAACACTGCAACAACATGGGGATAGAGCAGCTGTGATAGAATTCCACATTAATGAACCAATGGTAGGGAAGTGGAAGAAGCAAGAAGAATGAGTTGAGTAAAGTTTGACTTATCTGAATGTTTTGTTTGTTTTTTGGACCATAAGGCGTACCGAATTATAAGGCACATTAAGCCTTATAATTCGGTACGCCTTATGGTCCAAAAAATACAGTAGATATTGACATGCAATATTTGACATGGTTTTGATGTAATTGTTCTCCTTGTCACTACATGCCACTCTTTTAGAGTACCAATCCAATGATATTTGATAATCTTCCATGGCACACCTCATGACTTCTAAGGGCACACTCACGTGCTGTGGCACAGTGGTCAGGAAACACTTGTGTTCTTTGGCTCTTGGAAGAGGCGGATGCATCTTTCCCCCTCTCCCTCCCTTATCTTCCCTGCTGCTGCTTCTATGTGTTTGTCTAGTCTCGTCTAACTCTAACCCTCAAAGAGTTTCTCAGTCTTGTTCTCTAAAACCTAAAGAATTATGGATTTGATCAACTTTTTTTCCCCTCGCTACCTAGCCTGACCTGTCTCCCCAATGTGATGTTTGTGTGTTGTATGTACGGTCGGCAAGGTCTGTCATCTCGGTTGTGGGCAAAAGACCTGCAACTGACAAATAAAGGCTATCTCATCTCATCTCATCTCAAAAGATGACGGGGATTAAAACAATCTTGTCAAACCTTTGAAGACAAAATTGTTTTAAGACTCATCACCCATACTGGCCCATAGCTTCCTCACATAGCTCTTTCTCTTCTCCAGATAGCTCAGTGCTCGTGGAGGGTGATGGGGATGGCATCAGTGGAATGATTTGCTCTGTATGCTAACTGGTGGGGGTCGAGGGAGGGGCTAAGCAGTCTCTGATGTTCTGAGACACTATCTGCTCGAAACACTTCATGACAACACACGTCAGGGCTATAGGTCTGTTGTCATTGAGGATGTTGATACCAGTCTTTGTGGGGATGGGATTGATGGTGGAGGCCTTGAGACGGGAAGCGTGGCATGAGTCAGGGAGAGGTTGAACAGCCTGGCAATGATCTCTGCAAGTATGTCAGCACAGGTTTTAGCTGAGTCAGCAGCTCTCCTGTGGCTCTGGCTGTTGGCCTTTTGACCTTTAGTAATATTGTGATTATTTTCCTGGAAGGATGTATCTGAGACCATATTTTTCTTTATCTGAATATAGGGATGTGCCCTTAAAGCGTGCCCAGTCAATGGATCCTAAAATATATTTCCACAGATGACCTGCTGCTGCTGCTGCTGAGAGGTAATGTGTGTCTAAATGTTGTTCCTGACTCAGTTTTTGTGAATAAATTCTCTTTCACACACTTCTGTGTTCATATGTGAAGCTCAGCTGTTGTTTGGACTGTAACTCACTCTGATTGGTTCTCTCCAGTTTCCTGTTAATGAGCTGATTGCAAAGCCTTTTTGCTCTTATTGAAGAAAATACATCACTGTGCAAAAGTCTTGAGCCACACCACATTTATTTATATTTTGTTTCCAAGGAGACTGATTTTCTGTATTTCTAAGTAGTCTTAAGCAAAAGTTCTTCAAACTTACTGAAGGTATTTCAGTTCTTTGCACATTGGCTCCTTTTTAACTCCGTTCAGGCCTGAACAATGTCAGGGGAAAGTTAACAAAAAGCCAATTTTAAATGGTATCTTTAGACACTTTTTATTTTTTATTTTTTTTGTGTCCCGTTTGGATCTTTAGCATCAGAATTGTTGTCTTGAGGCCAAGAAAGATGCCAAGCGGATTTATTTTACCAAGTGGATCATCATGGCCTTGCCATATTGGTCCATTTGATTGACCTTTATTATAATTATGTGTTTATTTTATTTTCGGTTGCTACAAACGGGACAGACATGACTGGGGGATAGGACAGAGAGAAAGAAAACCAGAGGGGACAAGAGACGGTGAGAAAGGGGGGAAGAAAGAAAGAAAAACAAACAAAACACCTGGATCACCTGTATGGAGAAAAAAAAACAGAAGAGAAAGCAAACAAAAAAAGAGCAAAGTGCTTTTGTTTTTTCATGTGTAACTGTCTAATGTGGAAGAGTAGAGAAGACTGAGCTGAGTTTATGAATAGGGCAGGGCAATATGGCCAAAAATATATAAAAGATATAATTGACGTGAGACAAAATACTTAAAAAATACAACTCCACAACGTTTTTAGTGCAAAAAAACTCAACAACGTATTTTCACTTAAACAAGCAGCTGTTTTTATCTGCATTAAAGTTATATAAAAATGTAACAGTGCAAATGCAAACTGCTGACAGTTTAACCAAAAGGCATTTCCAGTGGAAATATCCTCAGCATAACCATGTATAATATCCACAAAACGTAAAAAGAGGTTATACACACACAGTACGGTAATATTATGTTGAAGCACAGTACGTATCACTCCGCGAGGCTCCGCCTACGATGCCGCAATGCTCCGACAATCCATCAAGCGGTGCGGCTTCGTAGCTTAGCAAAGTCTTATTAAAACTAGTGCTGTCAGCGTTAATCTCGTTAACCTGACATCAACGCCATAACCACATTAACGCGACAAATCTCCGTAGGCGAGTTAACACGGGTTGTCCCATGCGTGGGGCTGGATGGCACTAACGCGTTGACGCCGTGCTGCCCCAGGTTTTTCAGCATTGCATGCTCTACCAAAAATAGTGCTTTGTTGTGTATCTGACGGACAAAATCTAAACCAGTTCCACACCACTGAAGCAGCAGCAATTCTGGTTCATCCGTTTCATTCAATGATCCGCTTTCGCCCTTCTCATTCTCCGTCGCCGCCATGCTTTTTCCGCCATGTGCATATGAAAACAAAGGCAC